TATTGTATCAAACTCAAATATTACTTACAGTGACCCTGTACAAGACAGGAACTTATCCCGTGGGTTTGTGAGGCTGTTAATCTTTATGGGAACATAGAGTCTTTCTCTTGCTGAGCGGCTGGTGGGCTCCCACTACACCATCTGGGCTCCTTATTTGTTGTACATGTACACTTATTTCTGATCCCCTTTTTAAGTTAATAAACGAGAACTGCCTGCTATTCAATTCCTAATAAAGGTGAAGTGATACTTGTAATCTGTATGGTTCAAATTTATCTCTGGATCAAAAGACATCCTGTTCAGTACATCTGACCTAAATAATTAGTACAATATAAACTAAATAAAGACAACGTGGACAACTTCTATTATCTCAGGTTAGCTAATACTATATTGAAATATCCTGATTTTTATGGGCAGAGTGAATGAAGAGTGGTATATGGCATATGTTTTGTATCTCAAAAACTGTAGGACATGGGGGCTAGAGGACATGCTGGTAAGTGGGCTGCTGTGAGGTGCACAGCTTGGACCACTATTGCTGTGTACACTTTAGGTGAGTGCTAGGATGGGTCTCAATGAGTTGACGCCACTTCTGTGCTAAGCCACATACAGGGAAGGCCTGCTTCTCAGGAAGGGGCAGTACAGGCCTAGGTGGCAAATGTCACCTTAGTCATGGTCCTTATTGGGTACATACTTTTCTATCACAGTCCTATAAACAAGCAAAAAACACAGGGACTAGACAGAGTCACAAGAGCCAAAGAGGAAAGGCACTGGGAGTTTGGGCTTAATGAATGCTAGTTAAGCAAGTGGGGTTTTCAACAAAAGTCTAGAATCCTGGCACTTGGAACCTGGTGTGCCTCAAAACCACAAATGTGTGGTTGACCGCTGCCTGAATTAACATTTTGACACACACACACACACACACACACACACACACACATCTGTATTATAATGAAATGTGCACAAACTTGGAGTTAAATAATGGAAGTACACATTTGACTGAAACTGGGGAAATTTTCCACAACTCCAGTTGAAATATAAAGCATTCAGAACAGTGAGGAAAACATCAATACAAGATTGAAGAATACACAGAGTAATTATATCAAACAAATTGGTTGACATTCAATCACTTCAAGAGGAAACATATGATCAAGAATTTACAGTACTGAAGAAAGAAGTCCAAGCTGCACTGAAGGCACAGCTTAAAAAAAAAAAAAAGACTACAGGAACTGACAGCATTTAGATGCTTCAACACATAAATACATTAGTGTATTCAATGTCCTGGCCAACAGACTAGAAGAGATCTATAACTGTGTCCATTCCAAAGAAAGGTGATCCAACAAAATATGGAAATGAATATTATCATCATTATCAGAAGTAAAATATTGCTAAGGATAACTAAAAATTATTGCAAACAGTGCATTGGCAGTGAGCTGCCAGAAAAACTGATTCAGATGTATTACAAGAGTTATCACTGTTATTGTCAGATGGTTAATGGTTTAAAATAGACTAATAGATGTTTACTTCTGTTGACCATGCAAAGGCCATCAACTGTGTTTATTCTAACAAATTATAGATCACATTGCAAAGAATGGGAATTCAGAATACTTCACTGTGCTCACGGAAAACCTGCCATGCAGCATTCCTTAAAAACAAAACAAAACAGCGTACTGTGTGGCTTAAAATCAGGAAAAGGTGTATGTCACTTTCACCATACTTATCTGTGTGCTGAGCAAATCTGCAAAGTTTCACTATATAAGATGGCAGCCTCACAACTGGATGAAGACTTGAACATTCACTAACAAGCTACACTGTTCAAGTGACAAAACCTTGCTTACTGAAACTTCAGTGTTGTGAAGCACTTAATGACGAAGATCAAAGACTACGGCAGTCTTCAGTATGGACTGCACCTCAACAAAAAAAAAAATCATCACAATTGGACCAATAAACAGATCTATGTGCATACATGTATAGGTTGAGTATTATAGTAGCAGATGGACATTGGGCCTCCAACTCAAGTACCCCCTCAAAGCAAGAACACATTGTTCTTTTAAATTGGCATTCTATGAT